AGAGCAGGCCATCGACTCCCCCAAAAAATCGTTCGCAGCTTGTGCAACCACCATGACTGATTAAACTAAACTAAGACACCGAACAACTTTCAAGCCAAGATTCATGAAGAACTCATGACCAATCGTTCCCTTCACTGCCAGCAGTTTCATGCCTGGCTTAGGCATCTCGGTGGTTTTCCTCATTTGGTTCCTCTTCGTCCTGGTCGCTTTCTGTGCTCGAAAGTACGACCCGGCCGGGAGGCTTCAGATCCAGCCTGGAAGAGTGTTGTTGAATCTTACCCCTGGGATTCCAACCGAATTCCAATTTTTTGGGGTCTTGCCCAACAACCATTGCTTTACTAAGGATATTGGACGACAAGACCAGGTCAGCCGGACCCAATTGAAGGATCTTAGAAGGTATAGGCTTATGGAAGCGATCCGAAGGAGCCAACTGTGGAGGTTTGGGAGGTTTCGTCTTCCCAAGTCTCGATTTCATTCACCCCTGTCTACTCCACTGGAGTTGAAGACTGCAGTGGAGATGCGCGAAATGAGGACCCGACTTGGTTCACCTTCTTCACCATCTTGGCCGCGTTCTCAGTCGGAAAAGGACACATTCGGGTTGGTTTTCACACATCCGTGAACAACCCGACGGTTTGGGGCCCTGAGGCAGCCATTTGTGCTGCTTGGGGCATCATTGCAGGGCCCGGGAACCGAGGCAAGGGACGCTGACTTTGGAATAACATGGAGTAAAGACATATAGACCTTTTTTCTTTGCTCTTTTTCCTCTCAGATTGTTTAATAGCTATATATAAATATATGCGTTAATTTGTAATTTGTATGCATGTATTATCATGCATGTATCAGGTGTAGGTCCAGGTATCAATGCCTTGTACTCTGACATCTAGTTTTGTGTTTTCGAGTTTGTATGGACATCATATTGTGTATATGCACTGCCAGGCCACATATATACACTGCCAGTAGACCTCCTTCAAGGCTCAGACAAACCGCGCCAGACAAACCGGGAGCAGTGCCCGTTTCTGCGCGCCCTGAGGTTGTCCAACCTGCATCAGTATGAAGCTCCATACTACACCCTGCTAGAGATGTCGGTGTGCCTCTCAGAGTTGGAGAGAGACAGAGAGAGAGAGAGAGAGAGGGAGAGAGGGGGGGAGAGAGAGAGAGAGAGAGTGTGTGACCATGATTGACCCAGTTTTGCTGAATCGACACTCGACACCATGTAGTTGCGTGCTGCGTCCTGCAGCACCTGATCTTAGAGCCGACCGTCCGGTCGTTCCGGTGCATCACCAGGACGCCAGTGGTCCCAATGGCACCGGCGTTGACCCGGTGACCCTGTCGGGCGAAGACGCCCCTCGGTGCATTTGGGGTGCTCAAGGATGGGTGGTCAACCAGGGGACCAGGAGCTTGGAGCCAGTGGCATGCGACATTTGCTTTCTCCTGAAGTTTGTCCATCGACTGTGCAGCATACCGCTGCAGGGCGCTGTAGAGGTAGAATCCCCAAATGATGCAGGCAGCGAGCGTTTGAGCAGTGGGACGTCCAACCCAGTCATTCATCCAGATTGGGACATCATGATGCAAATCAAAGTGGCAGCACACAGTCAGCACACCAGGCAAAGCTAATAGTGACTTAGCTTTGCCTGGTGTGCTGACTGTGTAATAGTGCAAAGTATAAAGTTTAAAGGTTGTCCTGAGGAGAATAGAAGACTAGAGATGACCTTTCAGAAAAACACCCAATATTCACCGCGCGGCCGATGGAGCTTGCTGTATTGTTTTCCAGTTCCAAAGTGTTGGTGGACTTCGTAAAATCCCTCATCCAGGGAGGAGCTATCATACACTCATCTCCTTGACAATGCTCAAACCATTCAAACCCTTGACACCCTTGAGAGATACTCACAACGAGAGCACCAAGTGGCGCAAGTGGCGTGTTCGATGCCCGGCCCAAAGCTTTGGGCAACCCGGACGCCCCGATCCGGTGCCCCGCTGCCGAGGTCATGGATGCAGGGATGGTGACCTTCCAGGCCGGCTCCACCTTCGATGCCCGGAGGACCTGGCACTTCATGCGCCTCGGAGCGGGACGGGGCGTCCATGTGCAGTTGGGATGAGATGGGAGGGGTGAAAGTGGGGAGATGAAAGAAGGTGGGATAGGATAGAAGAAAGACAAGCTGTACCGCATACGCCCACACTTTTGTTTGTAGCTAGAATGGCCACACAACAGGCCATAGATAGATAGATCACAAAAGCTAGCACCAGCTAGCTGGAGTTGTTCTTGCTTTAGCACGTGAGGGGCTGGAATGCTCGAGAGCGCCAATTCCTCCCTGGAACGTCTCTGGGGCGTGTGCATTTCCGCTGGCGTAGTGGGCCGACTGTCATTCGCTTCACCCCCGCCCTGCCAGCTTTCGTTACCAACCCTCGGCCTCAAGTAGGTAGATAGATAGATCGATAGATCGATATATCGATAGGATAGATCGATAGATTGATGGATAGATAGATAGACAAATAGATAGGATAGATAGATAGATAGATAGATAGATAGATAGATAGATAGATAGATAGATAGATAGATAGATAGACAAATAGATAGGATAGATAGATAGATAGATAGATAGATAGATAGATCTAGAGATAGATAGATAGATAGATAGATAGATAGATAGAGAGATAGATAGACAGATAGACAGACAGACAGATAGCTAGGTAGATAGATAGATAAGACTAGACTAGACTAGACTGGACTGGACTAGATTAGACTAGATTAGATTAGATTAGATAGGTAGATAGATTTTGTTTTGCAACGTATATGTAGTTATATTTAGCTCGGCTGTCATTGTTTGCGGCTGTGTGTGGGCCCTAGCGACCATGCCTAAGCCTTGCACTTGCCCCTGGACAAAGCACTTCGCACCAGCCATGACATAAAAACAATCCTCACGCGCATGCCAAAAGCCTTTTGGTAGTCGGCGCCTAAGGCAGCAGGCTTCACCAGACTGTCTTACGGACCTTAGGGGAACCCCAAGCCAGCATGGCTTCAACTACCAATAGTTTATTTGGATTTCTCCCAGCCACTGGGGTTCCAAACTCTAGAAGGGGCACAGCAATTGTTTGAATGTACATGTTCAGTCTAGACGATGACTCTCAGCCATGATTAATTTTCTCACAATGACTCCAAGATTGCATAAGTTTCCCAATTGATGGCATGCTGGATCATTGGAGCAGTTGGGACACCGCGATCCAGATGCAGATGACAAAGATCTGATCTTGACTAAGGAAAGGCACCTTGTATTGTGCCGGCTCCTCAGTGCTTCGTGGTTCTGACATCTCTAAATGCCTCCAAAGCTGGCTGCCTCAAAAAGAGAACATGACCTGTCGCTCTCCTCATGAGCCTTTTGGATGTAAATCGTCAGATCCACGACAGCCAGTGTTGGCCTTAGGGTTTCGGGTTCCTTCCCCAATGACTAAGACCATCCACGCAGTCCCTCACCCTCGCGTTTTCACATGATCGTCTCGACCATCCATCGCAATGAAGGTCGCCCCCATCGTGGGCCCCGGCGGCCTCGCGCCCTTGCGGCAGACCTATGACTTCTGGGCCGTCGGTGCGGGGTTCCGCCGGACGGCCGGACGGTAGGATGAAGGCAACAGGTGAAGGTCCACGTCTTGGGGTTCCGGGAAGGATGTAGTAACAAGCTAGGAGCGATCGGACGCTACGAACGTAGCTCCTGGCCTTACTACTAGGAGCATACTACTACTAGTATATATCTCCTTGGCCTGGCACTGGGCACCCCTGCCATTATTGGTTTCCGGCACAGCCGGTGAAGCGGAATCTAGGAATTCGGCCCTTTGCTTGAGCAATACTTGGCACCCGCAGGTGCCTCGGTCGAAGATGTTTAGCACTGGCTCTCCAGGCAAGGACTGTTGTAGCATCACCGCCTCCGACTTCCGCTGCGGCTCTTGGGGCTCGACACAGGCACGGAAGTGGCACGTTCTTTCTTGGACGAGATGCAATGTTTTGTTCTAACAACGGGAGGATTTTCTAACATGTTCTAGCATTTGTTCTTCCATGACACTCCGACTCGCTCACATGGAAGGGGACAATGACCCCATGGAAGACTGTTGTCCTCAAAGCACGGGGGGGTCCACGTGAGTTGGCGTGGGGAATCAGGCGTGACGCTCTCCACCAACATGTCGGTGCTGCACCTGTTTGTTTGTATGTAATACACTATGGATGTCCAAGTGTGTTGGGGTTGGTGCATTGCAAGCTGCGTTCATGATCTCAGTCTATAATAACTTCTTGCATGATTCTGTTGCCAGACGGGTGCTGCATATCCATGAGGAAGGGCGAGCCCCTCACGGGGTGGAGTTTCTATCAGACCTAAGGGCACTGAGGCACATGTTAGAACAGAGGTGCCTCAAAGACAGCACATCTTTTGGGTTTCCACACTCACCCTTCTGCTCCTGAAAAGGTTAAAGGTTCTTACCCTAACTGACCCTCATGAATTTTCACGGATCTCCTCCCGTTGATGATTGATACTGTCAAATCAATTGCAATGGAGATGCTTGACCATCCATAGGGGGGTTGTTACGGTATGTTTGTCAACAGCCAAAATGATAAACATTATATAATCCGGCCTGTGGCCATACTACTTAGTGGATGTAGAGAATCTCCTGACGGTCTCCTGAATCTCCCGAAGCTCCGCTGATTTGGATGTTATGGGACGTGACTGCCTCAAGACCGCAGAGAATTCAACAGGAGCGCTTGAGGGAGAGTCGGTTTAGAGCAACAAGTGGACGACGGGCACGACACCCCAGCAGACCTCTACATTTGACCAGCCACAGGCTGGGACAGAGTTGATACATTGACCTACTGTTGATCAAAGAACTCATGCAGCACCTGGAGCCTCCAAAGAAAGCTGCAACCTGCAAGTGCGGTGGTTCTCCCGAGGTAGTGAGGGTTTCTTCCCATGAACGGGCGTCAGGGTGCTGCAACATGGGGGGAAAAATGCCTCGCGTGAGCCATGGATGGTGTGTGGGTTTACTACGAAGTCTCATCTGCGCCTTGCTGGAAAGCTTTTAGCCGCTTGGACCAGTCGCGGCTGGAAGACGCCCGAGCAGAAGCAGCGTGCACCACTGGGGATGGAGCAGAGGATGACGGAGAAGAGGAGGAGGCTGAGAACATGTTGAACAAACCATCATCAAGCCTCCCAAGAGTCAAGAGTAAGACTAAGATAGTCAGAGAGGCCCTCGACTCACAGTACCATTCAAATCTGATTTCTGAGTTTTAAGGAGTGATGGGATTCACCTCTTAGCGGACACCAGTTGATGGAACACCTGGGAACTCCACTCCGGGACGAGGCTGGCCTAGTCTCACGCTCATTCCCTAAGTTGGGCCAATTCCAGCGAAGTTTCTATCCAGACTCCAGACCAGGCCAGCCCCCCACTGCAGCCCTTGCCGGACCTGCCCGCCGCTCACCCTTCCGCCGTGGTCTTCTTCGGCCGCGCGGAGTCTTCTTGTTCGGTGCCGGTCGCAGCCGCGGGGTGCTGCGGGAACGCTACGGCGGCGGGCTGTTGGAGCGGCACGGGCCATTTCATGTGAGGCGCTCGCAGTGGTTTTGCATGGCTCGCCAGGGGCCCCGACCCTATGGGCCAACGCTGAATGAGCGACTGAGTGCCGCACATGCAAGGCTCATGGAGGTGGCCCAGGGGGGCGATTCATCGCCCGAGTTGAAGGAGACATCCGCATCTCCAAGTTCATCCAAGGAGGAAACGGTCACATTTGGTAGAAAGAGTGTGCGATTGTACATCGCATGGGGCAAGGTTCAAGCTGTTGAGGAGGAGGCTGACGCTCGGATGATGAGGGAAAGTCAATGGTTTTCAGTGTCTCACCTAGTCAACTCTTCGAACTGTTTCATCTCAGATGATCTGCCAGTCGGCTTGAGACTGCCACACCATGTTTAGAGCTTAGCCCGTTCTGTTTAATTACAGGTTCATTCTTAGAGAACACCCGGGCGGTTGCCGTGTTCCACGGGACCCGGGTACTTCGTGAGCATCGCCTCCTCAGGATAGCAACATGAGATTCTGGCTGGGTCTCTCAGGGCCAGTGGTGCAGCGAGGCTTCGAGGTTCCCGTGGATGAAGAGGAGTTGCTGCAGGCGGACTGCTGAGTTGCGGCTTCGCGCGGATGGAGCGGTTCGCACCAAGTTTGGGGAACTTGTAGTTCTGGGGGAATCTTTTGTTGCAAATCCCAGTCTTGTTTATATATAGGGCTTTTTTCGGGGATCTTTTTTCACGCGTTTGGTGGCTTCTGTTGTCTTCTGATGGTCTGACTTTTGGTGGCTTTTGTTGGGGCTGGATGTTTATTCAACCCTCCAACATTTTTTTTCAACCCTAACCTTTTTTTTCAACCCTCCAAGACGCTTTTTCAACCCTGGGTTAGAAAAA